CAAAATAGCTTAGAACAGCCATATCCTTGGGTCCTTGAGCTCCTTGATGGGCGCAAACGATACAGGAGACTCTCCCGCACACGAGGACTCGTGGCATGTCCTGATACGAAAGGATATAGACGAGTTATAGGGTTGTAAAGTTTCTAGTTGAAAAACAACGGTAAAATGCCATTATCCCTAATGTCCTTGCATCCAAAAGGACTTCCACCGATCCAGGGCATTGTCCCGATTACAAGGAGGTGTGGCATGTCCTGATCGGCCTTCAAATAAAGGATACAACAAAAAAAAATGGCTCTCCTGTTGTTGTTGTCGATTTATGTTGTTGTTGTTGTTGCTGCACACTGGCGCCCCCGCGATCACTACGGCCACTTTTGGAACTAAAACATTGTAGTTCCAACATCTTCCGTTCAAGCCTGGGGCGCCACTGTGACTTAAAAAAAATAAAAATAAAAATGAAAATTTTAGACCGAGTACCAGGCCAACAGAAATCAGCAGAAAGTAGCTGGTTTTCATATTTTTCAATGTGTCAAAAGCTAGTTGCTATACAATTAAAATTTGCGGTTTTATATCTGCAAGCTTTTATTTCAGTATTTCAAGTATTTTTATTTCAATCTCTACAACGCTATAACTCGGCTGTTTCCTGTCGGATAAGGACGTGCCACGCCTCCACGTGAGCGGAAAAGTGTCCTGCATCGTTTGAATACATCAAGGACCTCAAGGACTGCAGACCATGGCTATTATGCCATACTTTTTGAATAAAACCCCAAAAAGATCCTTCAAAGGTAGGGTTCACAAAGGTATGTTTTTATAGCTAGTTTTTTAACTTAAATTAAATATCTGGGGTACGCTTGCACTTTTCAGTTTGTCCTTCCCAGGTCATAGTCGTAATTGATGGCCGCTTTCTTGGGTACGATCCTCATGCAGATGACATTATTGACACTGAAATGGAATTACAGACAATAAAATGGGAGATTAATGGGAGACACTTACGAGATTCTGGACCGTGAATATGTTGTAGGATATTGCCAGGATTGCCACCTTGACTGCGAACAGGAAAGACAAACATTAGATTGGTAAAAGAGGCAGGATATGAACACACTTACCACTTTGTGGCCCATGTAGCGACTGCTGGGGACGGCCAGGATCAACGATCCTCCATCTGTGCCAGGACCCTAAAGTAGAGCAACACAACTCTCAGTTACTATATAGACACAATTTCAATAATAATTGGATGAGAATTTTTCACGAAAACTAAAAAACCTTCAACTGCAACTGGCTAGTCCTTACATGTAGGAAATTCTTGTGTTTCTTCCTAGAGAAATAGTTACAATACAATAACCAATATTGGATCATAGATAACTCTGAGAAATATGTACCAGATATAGAGACAACAAAATTCATATTTAAACAGAACTGAAACAGTATTCAAGTCGTCAACAACAAAATGTGTGAATCTTGTCAAAATTGCTCCGATGAAAAATGTGTACGATTTTTTTCCATTTGGAACATAGTCTGGGGTATTGCTGGTTTCCTAATGTGTGTTGGCACCATAATCGAAATGCGTATGGGTCAGTTACTGTCTCAATTGGTAGCGTCGTAATTGCTTACTATTTTTTGGATATTGTTTTAGATAAAAAAGAAGACCTGCTTGCCGAAGTATACACATATATTTTAATGGGAACGGCGCCCGTCTACACGGTGTCTGGAATATTAATATATTTTGGCGATCAGAAGGCAAGTGATTGGTTTCAGTTAAATATAATAATCCGCATCCTAATTTCTCTGTAAATGTCTATTTTTACCCCGCAGGATAGGCCAGGTTTGTTCTCTTTTGGCCTAATTATAAGCAATATATTCCCAATTCTGGCCTGTGGAACCATATTTTTACCAAGTAGGGAAGAGTCCTTAATATTGATTCATTGCTTCTGATGCAATTGTTTTCTTTTTTAGTCGTGCATTTCATTGCCCTGACCAGACTGTGCCAATACCAGCGTCAGCGCTGGAATTGATTTTGAGACATTCGCCACTTTGCTGCCCAACATTTGATTTTTTCCAGTAATCTAAATCACAGTATTCAATAAATTGCTCAATGTAGATTTATATTCATTAAATTTAGAGTTGGATGATGATTTTTGTTCCATTAATTCCTCCAGCGCTTGCAGAGCATAAAATGTAAATATGTACCTGCATTCAGGCAGCATGTAAATCTGTACATTTTTCTGTATGTAAGTAAGTCCTGCACTCGCCAGACACCCCACTTGGGCACTTTCGTTGTTTTCGGTCTTGTTGCATTTTAATTAAAAAATTGTTACAATTTGCCGTAAATTCCACATGAGCTTTAGCCAATTTCGCCTTTTGCATGCGCGCAGCTCGTGTCCGTATCTCAATCCACATCACTGTGTAACAGTATTTGTGCGTGTGTGTGTGTGTGTGTGTAGTGTGCCTGTGTGTGGGTTAATTTAATACGCACACGAAGGCGCACACGGGCATGCAAATTGCTGTGGGGCAGGTCCACAAGAGCAGCCGTCTCTTTCTATCTCTATCGCTGATTGTGCGACGTGTTGTGGAGAGGTGCACCAGGGGAGGGGGTGGAACATATAGAGAGTATCGGTCGTTGCGCCGACACACACAAACACACACACACACAATTTCGCATAGAAAAGGAAAAACTGTAAAAATCAATGTGCAGATGCAGATACGACAGCAGCAGCAGCGGCAGAGGCAGAGGCAGAGGCAGCAGCGTGCCACATGCTGCCAACCAACCAGCCAACCCCTTCTGCGCTACAGCCGCAACAACATCGCTGCAAAATATATCTATTTATTGTTTGTCGTAAACAATTTTCGACTTTTTTTACACTCTTTACATTGCACACTGAAACTTACATACATAAATAAGTATGTACGCGCAGAAAATATAAATGTGTGTGTGTCCTATGTAAATAGGAAAACTCTCTTAATATCACTCACTCACTGTCACAATATCACGATCAGCATCTGTTTTCTGGCTTCTGTTTTGACTCAACGCTGAACTGACACTCTTGAGTGTAATTTGTCGACTGCGGGATCGCTCAAGAGCAGCTACTGAAGATCTCTTAGCTCTGCCAATAAGTGAGAGAGAAGCAATGATTTCTCTTGAGCCTAATTTCTTTGCTAAGAGAACGCCAACTTACTCTCTCTCACTCAAAACACCGCTCGGATCGTTTATTCAAGCAGAGAGACACTCTCTTGATGTCAGTGGGCAAGCAGAATGAGAGAGCTGGTTCTGCTTGGAACTCTGCCAGCTGATTTGATTCCTCCCTCTCGCTGCCCGCACAGAGATCGTTTTAGGTGACGACTGCGACTGCGGCTGCGACAGCGAAACGTGAACGTGACTTGGCTTTGCTTTTGCTGCTGTTTCTTTTCCTCCTTCTCCGCTACTAGGTCTTCCTTTGCTCTTTGCTTTTCTTCGGTGAGCTGCCTCCTTCTTTGTTCGTTGATCGCCTGCCAGCCTCCACCACCCACCGCTCCTAAAACAAACTATAAGCAGTGCAATTTATTTTGCTTCTTCGTTGTTGGCAGAGGCCGTGGCAGCAGGCAGCGGCAGCGGCAGAGGATCACTGCTTTGCTTTTCTATAGATTGCACACATACACACTCGCACGCGCTCCACACACAGATTCATAGGCCCGTTGGCTGTTGCTGTTGGATTGCTTTTTGGTTTTGTTTATCGTGGATTTCCTCATTTTACGCTTATTTGTTTTGAAATAAAATTAAACGACGCATAACAAATCGAAGAGAGGCAGCGCGGACAGGGCAGAGAGCTGCGCCAGCGTCGACGAATCTGCTGCAGTAGAGACGATTTCGTTTGATGAATATCAGCTATGAATACTTATGTATTCCCTTATGTATTCCCCACCCTATGTAGCAGATAACGTATTGCATAAAGCCATTGATCCGCAGGGAACTTTCTGCAGAATAACAATAACCAGAAAATCTATAATATTATCAAATTAATTATACGCATATGCCAGTAAGTAGCCCACTCGTGGATACAACTTGGATGAGCGCTTGCTTCTGTTCGTGTCATACACATCGAATGACGCTTGTCCCCCCCTCCCCGCGCACTGTACTTACGAGCAACGAATCAACGTAATCAAAGTAATTTGCGTCACTCGAAGAAGAGTGTGCCAGCAAAACAAAATTCTAAATCTGGCAAACACGTAGAAGAGCTGTTCTCTAAGAGAGGCCTCTAAGGCAGCGCCTCTCACCCTCCAATGGCTCCATTTGTTTGGCTTAATTGCCGATAAATAATTGCTCAGCCGAAAGTACAGCAAGGGGAAAGTGGCAAGGGGCAAGGGGCAAGGGGAAAGGCAAAGACAAGACAACACAAACAGCAGAGGGAAATTCGCATTTGGCACAGCATTTTTCAGACTTCAGCGACAGCTGCAAAAACAGGGAGGAGCAGCGGGAGGGAGGTGAACCTTTTAGCCTTTTTCTGGGGCCAGCCCGTCAACCCCTTTTGGAGTCGCTATTCGCTATTTGGGAGTTTGTGCCTGGCACTTATCCCTTCTCCTGTGGCCGATCAACCGCAAGTTACAAATGTCAAACGCTGTTCTGTGTCAAAAGACCTTTCAATGCCGCTTTGTACAGCCTGTTCTGACGCTGACGCTGTGGCATCAACATCAACCCTCCAAGTTCCAAGTTCCCTGTAGAAGGTGCGCCATGACGCAACAATTCTACTCTATTCCGGTTGAAAAGCATCAAAAATGCGAGTAGGAAGACGAGTATCTGCGCATTTGCGAATTCTGAGGCCCTTCCTGCTGACATTGACTGACGTTTATGACGCACACGGAGATGGGGTTCGTCCATTCATTCATTCATCATCCAGCTGCAGCCACAAGCCCTGCAGATGCCCAGCCACTGGACAGAGCTGGACCCCAGCCATTAGCCGTGTCAGAGACAGGAGCAAGGGGTTGGAACCACCCAGAATGGAATGTTCGAAAGGGTTCAGCCAGGACTGGGATTACTTATTGAAATTCCATTTTATTACCTCGCGTTAAACACAATTTAGTCCTTGAGTATCTGGAGCGTGCGCAGCTCCTTGAGCAGCTCGTAGACGGGCTCAAATTTGTTGAACGTGAAAAACTGAATGCCATAGACACCCACATCGGCGTCGAGCACATCGCGAATGATGCGCAGGATCAGCTGCACAAAGAACCGAGCGACGCGCTGCGGCTCCTTGTGGATGAGGAGCAGTTCCTCCCGCTTCTCGGGCGGCAGGTGCACCCCGGCGATGTGCTCCGACAGGCAGTAGGTGCGAAAGCAATCGGCCACCGTCAGACCCACGACAATGGGCACTGTGATGCCAGCACTGCGACAGTCCTTGATGAACTGGATGATCGTCTCGGAGCTGTAGCACATCTGAGTGATGATGCAGTCAGCGCCAGCGGCAATTTTCCGCTTAAGGAACCGCATGGCCTCGGCGGGATCCTGGCGCTGGGGCAGGCTGGTGTAGCCCTCCGGATAGCCAGCCACACAAATGGAAACTTTATCTGCAGGCGAAAGTGATGAGAGTGCAAAGCGGTTGGCAGTTGGTGGACTTACCGCCCTGCTGCTTCCGTATGTACTCGACAATTTCCCAGCTGTAGGTAAAGTTTTGTATCTCGTGCACCAAGTCGCCGCGTATGGGCAGCACATTCGTAAAGTTGAGGGCCAGAAACTGATCGAGTCGCTCCTGCGACAGGCAGTAGGCGGTGATGTGCGGCAGCACGGCAATGCGCGACTCCAGGCTGCGTGCCAGCTGCAGACTCTTCACCTGATCGATGGGATTCACGTGGCAGTACTCGGTGCCCAGCCAGACAATGCTCACGAATGTCGGCAGTATGGGCAGAAAGCGATTGAAGTCCAGGCAGGTGGGCTTGCCCGACTGCAGGGCCACCACCTCAATCCCATAGAAGAGCTGCCGCCGGGCCGTGCGCTCCGCCACCAGCGTCGCCACTCGACGCTCCACGAAGTCCGTGCCGCTGGTCTGCCCCGTGGTGTAGTTCACGCAGGGCACATAGGATGTGGTGGCCAGGCCACTGCTGGCTGCCTCTAAGGCATGCATGTCCCGGAGCAGGCTGCCACAGATGTTGCTCACCCACCGACAGATCTCGCGGCACTGGAACTGTGTCCGCACTGTGGGCTTCCATTTGGCATTTGTTTTGATTAGTTTGCCGCTTGCCCGTGAGCTTATCGGCACTCTGTGATTATGCAATCTCCGAGCAGGTGCACAGTCGAGGCGACAAATGAATGCGCTACAAAATGAGAGGGAGAATCGGTGCGGAAGCGTTTGAAAATGTTTGACAAAAACGAGCTGTAAGTGGGGAATAATCTATGATTTGTTGGGAAGTGTATTTCAGCGCTAACTATTCGCTCAATGTCTCACAGCTCATACTCCTCATCAAATTGTAATCTCTGTCTCCCCTAGAAATCTGGCCACTAAGTTAGGGGCAGATCCACACATTCAATGGATGGATGTTTGGGATCTGTAATGGGACACAAATAAACGTGACAGCAGCCACAGCTACAGAATGAGGGAAACTGAACTGAACTAAAACTAAAGTTTATGTACAAATGTATTGAAATCTATGCAGAAACTTGCGCTGCATTTGGGCAAGTTCTTTTGCTGAAACTGAAAGCACAGATCAACTCTCAGTTGCCTTGCTGCTGGAAAGGATCAAAATACACTAAAGAGTTTTCATCAAAGGAGGTTTCAATCCATTGAAGAAAACCCCCTCAGGGCTTGCGCTATTGAAAGACTTTTCCAAATTAGCCTGGACCAATGGCTTGGCTCTGGGTCACCTGCTGAGCGACTGAGAACAGTAGAGCCCAGGCTGAGGGATTAAATTACGACGTGGCAAGTTGATGAAAAGCGTCAGGGAAAAGGCACACGCATGAGGAGGAGCTCCTCCTGGGCTCTGGGCTCTGCCTACACCGCAGAAGATACTTTTTTGCTTTGGCTGAAATTAAAAAATTCCAACGAGCGCAGAGACGTGGGTGTGTGGCAGTGTGGCACAGAAATGTAATAAAGACTGAGTTGTGAAATTATTAAGATGATTATGGCAACAGAGAGCAGAGAGCTCCCAGAGCTCCCAGAGCTCCCAGAGAGTTTTATAATCAGTTGGAGGAGCGGCAGGACACCCACAGGTAAGTCGCTTATAAGTCCCCAGTTACGGGGAAAACCTCACAGAAGCTGCTGCAAACATTTCCGGGAAAGTTGGTTTTTAAATTGCTGCCAGAAAGGATTACGGCAGGAGCCAGAAGGTGCCCGACTTTGGCTTTTCCTTTTGGCTTGAATTTCTAAGCAATCAATGGAAGTGGCAGCGTGGCAGTGTACATCAAACGTACATCAGTGGAGACATCACTTCATTTTACATCAAAGAAGGGAACTGCGTTTCCGTTTTGATGCCACAACAACTTCTGCGCCTTCCGCCACTTCATACATCGTTTCATACATAAGTACATAAATACATACATTTCTACATACATTTGTACATTTACTGCATGGAATTTTCCATCGACTTTGCTGTAACTCTCCAGCCATCCCTCCCCCTGTTCGATTTTGAGGGTTGAAACACTGTCGCTTCGGGGGATGCATCCACCCAAAACTGCCAGATGCCGGGGCGAAAATATTTATTTATTTGATTCCCTTCCTGCCGCTCTCACCTCTCGCAGGAGCAGCAAGTACTCGCCGTAGAGTCGAAATTTATCGCTTGTTGCTAGGCCAGGAATCGAGAGGAGGACGAGGAGGAGGAGGACTGACGCACACTCCTGTGACTGACACTCGTAACTGGGTGAGTGGGCTGGCCCACAGCTTTCCCACTGACTCACTGACTGACTGATGGCTCCAGAACGCAGTTGCCAGAGGGTTGATGCAGCATGGAATCGCATCATTATAATAGCTCAAATCTGGTTAGGGCGATGAGTGGCAGGCAGGACGAGTGCCGGCTGCGATTCAACCCTCAACGGGCACAGCTCACTCGGCAGCATTCGCCATGCGGATCTGCATCGAAGGACACGAACACCGTTCGATTTCCTCTCTCTCTCTCTCTTTCTGTTTGTGTATTTTGGTTGCAAATTGTTTTTCTTTTTCGAATTGCGTCATCGCCGTGTCCCTTGCCACACGGCGAACGTGGCAGGCACGCTCGAAGAATCCTCTGGTCCTGGGCAATCTCGGATGAGTTACTGACATAATTAGGACTTAACTGGAAGTCACGCGCTGCGCATTCGTAATCCGAGTCCACACAGTACGGACGGCCTGCTGCCTGCGTACCAATTCAAGGTCACATTTGCTCAGCTGCTGGCTCTGCCGAGAGCTTACAGCTGGTCCTGGCTGGACTGCGGTGATATTGAATTGTCACAGGGGAAAGTACGAGGGGGGGCAGGGAATGGACTTGGACTTGGATCAGCTCTAACTCTGCTTTGTGCCTCACAATGCCATCCTCAACTTATTCCTGCCTGCCCAAAACATTAGCATAGATCATTGTAATGTGTGCCATTGGCCGCTCATCGCATAACATTTAACATTAAAATCACATTTACTTTTACGCATTAATAGAGCAGCCCCAGAACGGAGCCATTATCCCCACGGGATATCAGTTTCCAGTGGGAGCGGGGGGGAGGGAGCACCGCAAAAGCAATCCCATAATTTCCCGTACACCGCAAATAAAAACGTAATTACTTAAATAACGAAAACAACATTTTTCGGGTGATTACATATTTTACATTTACACACGGGCACGGGGGCCATGGATGGGGCATATTTATATTCACATTTTCCAACTTTTTGCCCCCTCTTGTTCTCGTTGTGTAGAGAACCAATGGGAGAGTGGGAGACTGGGAGAGTGCAGCCTTGAAAAAAAAGAGAGCCGACAACCACAATAGAAAAGAAAAGAAAAGCAAGTCAGCAAACACACACACAAAGCCACACTCACAACAGCGCTAATACACAAAACTAAACAAGTGGGAAACACACAACGAGCACAAGGAAGGACTAAGGAATACCCTCTAATTGCAAGCAGCTGTGGAAGGTTACATTTGTTCATTTTCTTTGCTCAAATTTGCTCAATGGAAACTTCCGTTTTGTTAGCAGTGTGTTTTTGTGTGTCCATCATACCCCGCGCACATACCCTGCACAAATATATGTAATTTAATTATGGGCCTGGCAACGTCAGCGGCAAGAAAAAGTGTAGAAAAGGAGTAGAAAGACCAACAAAAAAAACAAAGCAGAAAACAGTAAGCGAAATAGAGAGAGTGAGAGGGAGAGAGCGATGGCAAACATACGCATATCCCGCTGCTTAAAAGTTCCTTCCCCCTCACTCTGCTTGTGTGTTCCTTTTGTTGTTCTGTTTTGTACCGTTTCACCACTCCACCCCCCCACACACACATTCATGGTCCGTGGACCCGCTGCGTTATTTTGACTCAAGCTGTGCACATTTTCGGTTTGATTATCGAGCACAATATATTTTTTGTCGGCTCTCGCGTCCTTTTTGTTGCCTGCTCCTTGTCCGGGCCATAATTGACGATTGCGCCATGAGTCGCCACAATTTGTGTACGCCTCCGCCGCAGCTCATCCTGCACTCTCCACCATCCACCATCCGCGTTCTGGCTTTCCCTTTTAATGAAATTTCTTCCTGCCCTCCGCCTCCGCCTCCGCCTACGCCTTCTCCTTCTCCCCATCGCCGCGTGTACTCCTCGTGTATTGGCAGTTGGTCGAGTAAACACATTAAGCAGATTTCAATTTTTTAATATTCCATCCTTCCAGGGGGAGTGCAGGGCTGTGCCCCTGCCGCGTGGAAATTAATTTGAAATGCGGAAATTGTGAAAAGCGAAAAAGATCAGAAAATTATGTTGTAATTTGGAGCGGCGACGCGGATTTGATTGAAATATTCAACTCAAAAATGAACAACAAATGGGATGATTGCTGACACAAAACAAAAAAGGAAGAAATAAAAACGCTTTAAGGCTTGCTGGGGGTCACTTTTTTTACGGCATTTAACAGAATGTTGAGTGGAAAGATGCAAATTTATTTGAAGGTTTGGCTCTAGATTCTAGATGGACAAAATAGTTTCTAATAAGTGGGGAAGATCAAAAGTTTGTGGACTATTTTCTGATATTTCTAAACAATTATGTAGAGTCTTTCCATAGGAACCATAGCCAACAAAAGGAGCGAAAAAATCAAAGTTCCTTCATGAAAACATATAAATTTTAGGGCTTAAATACAAACTCGCATATAAAGGCACTCTAAATGTTGATATTGCTACAAAGCTGCTGCCCGATTAACACATAATACACGTACATATGTAAATATGTATGCATTTATGTAAGTGTGTACACACCTCAACTTGGAGTTAGCATGGGGAAGGTGACACCCAGCGCACAGACAATAGATCACACAACCGAAAATGGAAGATTCGGGCATTAATAATAGCAATAAAAAAGAGTCGTAAAAGAGCGCTGTATCAGCGGTGGCATCGGCAGTAACCGTTAAAGCCAGAGAAACCCGTTAAGAGCACGAGCAGACACCCACACACATTTCTCGAGTATGTAAATGGCATGCCCGAAGAGCCAGAAAAAGAAAATATAATAATAATAATAATAAAATAAAAATCATAAAACGAAGAGCAGCAGCAACGAACCAAAAAAAAACAACATAAATTAATATTGATAGTACAATGGGGCAATGGGCAACGGGCAACGGGCAACCCATAAATGGTGTAGTCTGAGGGTCTCTTTTATGGTCTTGTGGGCACCGTTCGATTCGTGAGCGAAGCCATTGATTTGTGGCATCCCCATGGTGCGGGGTTTTATAGAGTGGATAATGGACGTTGGCCGGCAAAAGGTGCACGAAATTAAGGAAGCCGCAAGTTCGCATAGTTCGCACCCCATGCGGCGATTATTGTCACGGTCCGGTCCAGTGACAAATGTCAGACGTGTCCATCAACAATTAACTCTCACTGTACGCACCTCAGCGCATTCCTCGCTGGCAGCAGCAAAACATTTGGGAGCTCGCAAGAGATTTTCTCATATCTATATTCTAGAATTTATTCATGGCAGTTGCTCCCCTCTTGGCTCTATTCATCAGCCACTCTTTTGAGGTTCTTTTGCAGATTTTTAGATTAACAAAGTTCTGCCATAACAAACCCCAACCCAGAGGTTATTGTCAGTGCTCTTTGAAGCTGTTTTTGGCTTTATTAAACACGCTCAAAGGCAATGTTTAATATTGATTTTCAGCTGCAGGCAGACATTGTGGCAAAATTGAAACTTTTGTAGTTTCTAAGCCGATTAAGAGGGCCTAACATAATGAGGAGCGGGGCAGCGAATAAATACGTTTAATATTAGGGATGAAAATGATTCAAATAGAAACTGTAGAAGTACTTTTACCTGCATTATTTCCCCTATTATTGGGCTCTTCAAATGCTTCAAATAATTATAGAAAATACATTTAAATTCCCTCTATTACTTTTGTGTGTTTTTTGCTAATCTGCAGACTTACTTTCTCGACTCACTGTAGCCCCAAGCATTGCGCACCTCGAGCAGATTGATTTTGATTATAATCGAAAGATTTCTTTTGGTTTTGTTCAGAATTTTGGCACACATTTAATTGGATTTCATTAATTTCAATTTTGTGAAGTTTTCTACAGCCATAAAACAGTGAACTTTGATTGACAGTTACGAGCTGTGAACTGTAGGGGGCTGGGGTAGTGGCGTTTATGAGTCATAAAGTCTAATTAATAGCGCAGGATATTATGTACCTTTGGCTTGATGCCGTTGATGGCCCCAGGGCCCAGCCTCTCAACTTGTTACCCACTGAGTGTCGCTCATCCTCAATGGATCGGGGCCTGTACATAACATTAAACTATGTACACAGATATGTATGTATACATTTATGTACATATTTATGTAAGTTTTCGCTGCATGAGTTGTGTGCGTTGTTTCTCGTGTCTGGTGTTCATTTTTTGCCTGCATACATTTTGTGTTTTATTTTCTCCCGCTCTACGTTTTCCTACACTCCTCTCCCCGTTCTGCCGTTTTAGGGCCACTTAGAGGCGAACATCGTCGACGAAGTGTCGAACTGGCGTACTGCTTGACTGACTGACTGACTGGCTGACTGACAAACTAACGAAACTAACAAACCGATACCAAAACACTCAGCCATACATATACATACACATATATGTATTTATACATACATTTATGTAGCGTAGTCGTGGGGCACCTCTTGAAAGGCCTCAACTGTGTGGCAGCAGCAGAGAATATACAATAATGGGCTCGAGACCCCGAGACGTACCCGAGCCTAAGTTTACTTTGCCTTTTTCACTTTTGATATTTTGACATTTTCATTTGACAGCTGATTGAAGGGCGCCCCCCCTCGTCCCACACGTCCATCCTGCGATTCGATTTCGATCGATGGATGTTTGTGGCGACACTAGCTAGAGGGAGAGAGGCAACGATAGCACCGATAGCTGTTGTCAGGTCGCACAGTGCTCAGGGCCTCATGTGGTGCCTGGTGTCAAGTGCTGTGTGTGTGTGTGCGGCAGTGGGCAACAATAGGCAATACGTGTGGCAAAAATGTTTTTATACCGAAAAGGGCAGGGGATTAGGTTTTAGAAATCGGTAAAAACTGCAACCAAGAGATTTCCTGTAAGCGATAGAAATGTTGCTTATTGAGAAACTTCACTGCAGGCCAAAGCTGGCAGTTTATTCTCGTAGCTGGTACATGCTATAAGGCTCTGTTGCAATTCCATGTACTCCAGTTAGGAGGATTATTTTCCAGCTTTAAGTTGTATCCAAAATTGTAGCCGAAACCCACACCCACCAATTCCACATTCAAAATCAAAAATCTGCCGCACATTTTCGCCTCAATTCTGCCCACTGTGCGCCCCAAAAGTGTCTCTCTCTCGCTTCTCTCTGTCTCTCTCTCCCACTCTTCCTGGCAGTCGTTGGGTCGGGGGGAAGGTGCGTTGTTGTTCCGCATATGAATGTGTGACATGTTTGTCGAAAATGTTCAAAGTTGTTTGGCTCTCCGACGTTTCTCTGCGCTGATGGAAATGGAAATGGAAAGAAAGGGAGCGTTGAGCATGGAGCGGGCAGCGGAGTGTTGCCGAGGTGTTTGCCAGTGCAGGTCCAAGTTGCGCCTAATGGGATCGCGTGCGTTAACTTTTAGCGTCGAGTGTGTGTCCCCTTGTGTGTTTGTGTGCTTTATGCCGTGTTTGCCTAACTGCACATGACAGTTGCTGGGCATTAGCCCGATCCAATTTGGGTCCCCGCCTGCAGGTTCGACTCCATCAGGCAGTGTCCATTGTGGCAACGGAATGGAATGACCCACGAAGCAGCACAGAGAGCACTCGGTTGACACCTATTTTGGGGACAGGGACTGAGGCCAGGGGCCCGCTTCTTTGCATTTAATTGCCCGAAGCTCTGACAAGGGGCTAATCGAAAGCGTTTTTACTTTCATTTCCGTTTCCATTTCGGTTGACATTAGTTGCAGGTCTCTCTCTCTCCCTCGCTCTGTGCCCCACTGGAACCAATTATGTCTGCTCTGGGCTTTGGCTAACGATCCAATTAGGAGCTGCGTTGATGGTAGTTACCTGCAGCAGGTGGGCCTCTCCTCTCAGCTCTGCTAATAATGAGCAGAGCTGGAAGTTCTCCCTAGAACTAATCGAAGGAAGTGCCCAAATGTTGCTTAATAAATAAATTAAGCTGAGTTGCCAGTCGTCTTGCTGCAAGAAAACCAAATAAAAATCGTTAGAAAAATAATATTTGCACACAACTTGAAAGGGGGAAATCTGTAGAGGAAGCTGTGGAGCGATCTGCAGTGGAATCCGAGCAGCCATGGGAACAGTCTGACTGCAAGTCCCACGAGTCCCACTGCAATTCAAGGACAAGCTGCCAAATGTTGTCAGTAAACAATTGCGGAGCTAAATGAAGATTGACGAGTAACATGCACTGTTACCCCACACAATTTGGATTCCGTTTCAGATTCTGTTTCAGTTCTGCAGCGGCAGGAAGACGTTTTAATGTAATCCCCTAAGATGGAAGGCAAAGTGCAAGGCAGTGCTGCCAGGCAGCAGGAGCCACCTACACGGGACAAATTACATTGCCATTTCCACGTTTCACTCATCCGTGCTTGGGTGACTCCCCTGTCCTTGCGCTCTTAAGTGCTCGAAAGCGCATAGTTCGCCCCGGCGCATACGAGCTGGAGTAAGTGTAATCAACATGCAAGCGCCGAACACAATGCCCCAGCAGTACCCAGAGCCGGTACCATTACCCGGGGCATGCCTCACGTATCCCTGACTGGACGGAAGCACTGCGCCTGGAGTGGCGTTCAAAACGAATTTGCCACAGCACTTGAGCGCTCAACAATCCGTCGTGGAGAGGACAGGGGACAGGGGAAGCATGAGCATGAGCCATGAGGCTCAGCTTGAAGCGGAAGGCAGGAGCCATGGCCATGCATGGAGGTAGCGCTGCAGCGATAATAATGACGGCGAAAACAATTGCAACAACGGTAAACAAGAATTCGCTCGACACGCTCGACACTTGAGGCACGGTACGGATCTGCAATTCCGTGGCAGCAACAGCAGTGGCAGTGGCACGCAATCACGCGCATTCGCTCGGCTCTTGGGCTGTTGGGCTGCGGCTGTGTCTGTGTCTGCGGCTGGGGGTGGCTCTGCTCTCTGCTCTCTGCTCGGAGTTTGTTGTTGTGTAATAAGCATTAATGGGGTGCTCCCCGGGATTGCCGTTACCGTTACCTATTCATCCCGTACGTACTTTTTGTTTATCTGTCAACATGCACAACGGCTGCTGCACACACATTCGGGTAACGGATCAACCGTGGCACAGTGGGACGAGGTGGAAGATAAGCAGAGGGTTGGGACTTGAATTGGAAGTTGCGATGCCATCCAGGGTTTTCGTTTAACATTCGATTGGGAAAACCTTTAGGGTTTTATCATAAATAAAATAAAAATCAAAACTATTAAATATATAATAATATTCTGGAATATTCGGGATATTTATGTAAACTCTCATCCTATCCTAAACCTACTTAAGCCCTGAGCTGTGTAACAAATTCTGTAAGCTCCCAAAATTTATATCAAATATTCATCAAGTATTATCGCCAACCATTTCGATAATCATTCCCCCGTCCATTTGTTCCTCATCATACGCCCAAATATTGTTCATGCCTGGCCCACTGTGCCATCGTCATCGTCGTCATCCTCAGCCGCATTGTCGTAGTCATCCCCGAAGCCATCAACGTGCCACGATGCTCATAGATGATGATGATGATGATGATGCCAGCCTGGCAACAACACAGAGAGGGAGAGAGGATGAGCTAGGCAGAACGAGAGCGAGGGAGAGCGCGTGTGAGAAATCATCATTTTAATTTTCACAATCAAATGTTTCTGTTATTATTTTTTCCACTCGACTACAACATTTTCCGAGCTGTGCTGGAGGCTACGGAGCGGAGCAGCTGTCCGAAATTGAAACGGGGTGGCACGGGTGTCGAGTGGCAAGCGGCAAAGATGAGAAACGGAAGAGCAGGGTTGCTGCCTCTGTCTCTGCCACTCCGAGACTCGAGTTTTGTTTTGTGGTTTATTACACGCAAATAAATTACATTTATGTTTGTTTCCATTTCCATTGCAATTCACCAGCAACTAGGGATGGGACGCACATCCAGCTGATGATGCGATAGTTGCGATTAGTTAGAGGAACAACTTAGGGTAAAGATTGTGTGAGAGAGTTCCGGCGGAATACTCGTGGCTACAGCTTCACTTTTCAATTTCCTTTTTTCGTGCTTTAATCCGCTTTGGTGGTCCATCTCTAGCAGCCACAACTTTGGCACATTTGTTTCCATTTCGACTGTAATTTTCCAATGCAATTTTCCCATACACATTTCACCGTTTCCCACTCCACCCAATCCATTGAGCGCTCTCTAATCACCCCCCTCCCGGGCATTGGTTGTCCGTTTCCCCTCTCCCAATTGTTTGCTGCTCTTTATTAATTTGATCATTTCATGATTGCCTTTTGTTGCTGTTTCTATTGTTGTAATTAACCTTTTGTCTCTCTAGCTGGTTGTCCGTTGTCTCTCCCTCTCGTGCCTGTCTCTGTTTCACTCTCTCCCTCTAGCGCTTGTCCCTGTCTTTCCATGTGTCTCTCTGTTTCGCTGTTCATTTGGACTGCTTTTTGGTCTATTTTTGTCCCATGGCTCTGGTCCCATGCTCCCCCCACCAACCCATTGTCCCGAACTCTCATTGTGTTTAGTGACATCAACACAACACCATCTCCCCCTTCCACTTACCCGTTCCCGGTTGAACCTTAAGTTTTGACCATTCCTCGCCTCCTCCTTCTCTTCATGCTGCTGCTGCTGCTGGATGTTTCATTTGTTCCGACATTCAACTCTTCTCTCCACTGTCCAGATGGACTCTGTTTACTATGGTAATTATGCACTTGACATGTGACGAGGGCTGCTGCCCCGCCCACACTGCTACGACACGACTTTCATTATCCACGTCCAACAAATTATTACATAACCCCATCGGTAGGGGGAAGAGCGAGTAAGAGAGTGAGTGGTCAGCCCCCCAATTCCTCATTGGAGACTCGTACTTGTGGCAGAC